GCACTCATACACAGTGCCGGATCTAAGACATTTGGCGCCCGGGGCTAATAAAAATGTAGCACCCTTACATAGTATTAGCTACAGGGGTCAGGGTTTGGGGATTGTCAACACAATTAAAAAAATTTTTAAATAGGTACAAATCAAAAATATATTTTTATATAACAAATATTTTTTATTTAAATCGTAGTCTTGATATATATTGTATTATAGATCATAGTCAATATTATATTTAAAACCATAAACAACAACATAAATAAAAAATCTCTTGATTATTTTAATTAAGTACAAAAATTATAATCTGAAAATTTAAAAATTAACTTTTCTAGCTTTTTAGCAGCGAAATCATTAATTATGTCTTCATAATTGATTTGTCTTGCAATTTTATTTTATTTGGATAAAATAGATAAGTTATTAAGTCTTGATTGCTCCGTAGTAGATCTTAAATATGTTTTTATTAATTTCAATTTGCTAAAGCTTCGTTCACACGAAGCTGAAGTAACTGGCATTGTAAGATATATTTGGTAAGCAACGGATATATTTGGATATGCATCTTGAAGTTTATTTTTATAAATAAAATTCAACATTTCAAAAAATGTTGCACTTTTTAAATCGTCATCTATGTTGTAAACATGGTCTTTAAAGCTCTCTAGTTCTGAAATGAATTCAATTTTGTTGAGGTCGTTTTCATATTTATTGCATAAATCGACTCCCGCTCTTTTCAAGTTTTCCATAGGCCAAGAATAAATTATTGTTGGATCTAAAAATGAAAAATCTTGAGCAATATTTTCCATTGATTTAAATCTTTGACGTGGTCCTATTAAGATATTGTCAATAACATTTTTAATCATTATTAAAAATTTATTTTCTTCACTTATGTTACAAAACTCATCTTTTGCAATTTCTCCGGGTAAAAGTTTCTTTTTTCGTAATCTGACTTTTGGAAATTCCGTTTCTATGCCTAATACTTCAGCTTTATTCTTTGAATCCAATAAAGCCTCATTTAAACCTTGCTCTCGAAAGTTTTCTAATATTTTAAGGAGACTTTGCAGATGTTTGACAGCGACATCAATTGTTAATTTTGGTTTTTGTAAAATTATATTAATCCTGTCAATTGCACTGAGAATTTTTTCCCAAACCGTAAGCATACAAATAAAAGAAAAACTTTTAAGTGATCTTATCAAATTATCTGCATCAAATTTTGTTTCTTCTGATAATTTTTCTTGTTTTAGAACGTCAAAGCTTTTAAAAACCATATCCAGTTGAGTATTTAATGATTTTATTGCACGATGTTTAGCTGACCACCTTGTTGTACTATACCCTTTCAATGACAATTTTAAATTATTCATTAGAATATCCCATCTTTGCGTTGAACTTGAAAAGAAATTAAATAATTTCTGTACGATGCCGAAAAATGTTTCTACTTTAGGTATACTTTTTGCACAATTAACACCAATTAAATTTAAGGAGTGAGCTGAGCACGGGATGAATCTTGCAAGTTTATTCATTTCAATAATTCGTGCTTGGACTCCTTTAATTTTTCCACTCATATTTGACCCGTTATCAAACGATTGTCCTCTACAGTCAGATATTCTAAGATTATCTTTTGWCAAACAATCTAATATATCTTCTGTTAATGATTCACCAGTTTTGTTGTACACACGCACAAACTTTAAAAAACTTTCTATGATTTCGCATTCATTCTGGTTGTTTTGTATAACATAGCGAATAACTTGGGTCATTTGTTCTTGGTGTGCAATGTCTGGTGTACAATCGAATAGTATAGAATA